CCGGTTTAGTATATACGTTTACGGGGCAAGATATCGTACTACTTGTTCTATGCACTGCAGATATCTTCGGAGAGAACAAGGTGAGTAGCACCACCGACTTTTTGTGTGACAAACCGAGCATTTTAGGTTCAATCTTACTTGCTCATGCCTTTCTGCCTCCACAGCCATTCATCGCCTTTCATGGGGATTGCACCCCCTCTGTCATCAAAGATAGGGAAAAAAAAAAGAAAAAAAAACATTGTTGCTGCGAAAAACATAGTTTCAAAGGTTCCAAGGGCAAATATCGCGACGTTCATACTCTCTATCCCTGTAGCAAAATATGTAACTCGCGAGCAACTCCCCAGCACTGATCATAGCATTGGCCGACGATTTGACAACGTTTTCCAGAAATGCTAGATGGATGTAGCGTAAAACGCTACTAAACACTCCTAAATCAGATACTGTAAAATATCCAGTACTTAGTATACTGAATTCTCTCAGTACGGTAAGGCTGCTGGTCGTACGCTATTATACTTGTCGCGTTCAGTGTTCGCTGGAGGACAAAGAGGCTTAAACGTTGTTTCTGAACCATCGCCTAGCGCTCTGTGATGCGTATCGTATTATGAAGGTGCAGTGCTGCTGCATGAAGCCCAGAGCAGCACGGTAGATGGGAGGCTTCGTCGTCAAGGTACGAGCACTTGGTCCACTTAATTAAGTGAACTGTTTGCCAGACTAATGTCAGCATTGCAGGTTAAGCGAACATATATAACGGAAAATAACTCTTGATACAAACTTTCTTTTTAAATCCGAATGAAGAAGTTGAACTATACATAAAGTTAAATGAAAATACACCCCAAAAATGTGCAAACGGTGGAAATGTCGCTTTCAATAGCCGAAGCAAATCCGAGTGAGGAGCCCGCGAAGCAAGACCACTCGGTATTCGGGCAGGCTGGCCCAGCGACGCGCTCACTAGCTTACAGAATCGTCATACGCTTCAGTACAATTTTCCCCTCTAATGCGGTGGTCTGAGGGGTGCAATCCATTTTTTTGTTTTGTTTTGTTTTGGACTACACTCAAAGCAAGTGTGGACAGCGATTTTTTTTAACGTTTTGGACGATATTCATAATAACGATTATTCAGAACGAATAATCAAATATTCTGTGGATTTTCTATGGGCTCTCATGATCGAGTGTGCTGCTCCTATGAGCTATTGTTTAGTTTTTGTTTATTGTAGGTGGTTCCAGAGTCTGCATCAGACTGAGTGAAAACTTGCATGTCGCTCAGAGCAACACGCTCGTTCTTTGATAGAGCCACACCAACCACCACTCACTTCACGTTTTCCTTTCAAGACCACAAGGCCCTTCCTTCCATCGGACACCCCTCTCTACAGTCATGCGCGGTATATTCTACGTTGCTCTAGCCTTTGCGGTTTTAGCTCGCAGCAACGTCGTCGCAGCGTTCCCTCATCCCGACTTGTCCAAGACATTTCCTGACTCTGCGGCCAATGCCAAGAGATTCCTTCGGGGAGCGGGCCAAGAAGTTGCTCAGGCTAACAGAGGGAACGGGTATGGTGGGGTCTGGAAAGCTGCAGCCGATAGTGTCAATAAGATCGTCCCTAAGCCGAATATTGACATGAAAACTCTTCTCGAGAAGGCCAAGGTGGTTCAGGCGCTCAAAAAGAACACAAAGAGTAAGTAAAAAGGTGGCTACGTAAAGAAGCACGGCGAAGTAACATTGGATGAGGAGTGGGAAAGCCTACAGCTACACTCTTGC